GGGCGCATCTAAGTCTAACCCAGATGAATAACAAATTGTCCTGGATAACCAAACTAAACAGAAAAAAAAAAGTAAAGATATTTCATATCAAATGATGTAACTTATTATAGACTTTTTATCTCAAAACAAAATACCTATAGAAATGATATTGTTTATAAAAGTGACGTCGCCATATTATTCGTGAAGTTTTTTGTATGATTTTTATATATGAATAAAGTTTTCCAATTTTATTTTAAAAATTATATATTACACTCAATTTTATACAAAATATATAACATTTTACGTACAGAGTAGGACGGGCCTCAAACTAATGACCATGAGTTTAATAATAAATATTTTTACCACTTGAGTAACACATACTATATGTATATTTTTCTTTGTCATTATTATTATAATTTAAGAAAAATGTTAGGAATACTAACAATTTTACTAACACACTCATAAGCTATCTAAGATCAAGCCCCATAAATTAAGGGCCATATCTTAGACCTAGTTGTTCACCTAATCTAAAAAAGTGATTGATAATTAGTAGAAATATTTGATGATAATTGATTTAAACTTTATATTTACAAAAATGTTAGGGATTTCATATTGTAAAAAAATATTTGGTAATTCATTTGGAATTCTTAACATTACTCTTATATTTAAATTTTGTAAGTTTTTTAAGTTTTGGCATGAGCAAATTTGAGGGTTTTAGTAATTGTATTAAACACTGAAGGTAGAGTAGATATCAAGTTTGAGTCAATTTTTATACTAACCATTCCTAGCTCAAGCCTAGTCATTGGAGAATTGTCTTGTGCAATCTATTTACTTAGCCCACTTATTTATTTAAATATTAATTGGTAAATATAAGTCTTGAATATTAAATATTCATTTGGGAACCAATATTTCTACGCTATGTGCATTTCTCAACATTTATTATTATTATTTTTTTAAATTTAGATTAATGCTTTGGGGTTTTGTTTGCACCCATTTTTGTTGAGTTCTTGTCGATAGGTGGATCAGTTAGATGATGAAACATGGCAAAGTCAAAATGAGAATTCTCCATTAGTCAAAGGGACAAGTGGCATTAGAGGGGTTGATCATGTGTATTAAATGGCCCAGAAGGTGAAATAGTTATTACGCTAAGTCATGGACTTAGTGGGTTGCTTGCAGAAAGGATCAAGTGTAGAATGAAGACTTGGCTCTGTCGATGAGAGGCCAAAAGTGTTGAAGGACACGTGGCAACATGGAGGAAAAACAATTTGATAGATGAAATTGAAGGTTTAATGAAGTTTGAAAGTTTGGAAGTGAGAGAGCAGTTGTAGCCGTGGTAGTTCTAGGACTTAGGGAAATCATGCGATCATGGGCCTGGAAAAGAGGAAGAGAATATAAAGGCTAGAAATTTGAAAGGAGAAGGACATCATCAACTCAACAACACTTAGCTTTAGATTTAGTTTTACCTTAGGAGTAGTTTCTTTTTCGAAATAGGAGTAGTTTATCACTGTAATTTGTAAACTTTTGTAAACTTCAGTAGTTTCACTTTTGAAAGTTCTTTTTGTTTACATTGTTTACTTTGTAACTGTCAATTATTCCATAGAAGTCCTCATTCCTTTGAGATATTTGAATCAATTGCACAATTGCTTGATTATTTTTGTTTGATTGTTTGGTTTAAATTATTGTTTAATCCCTGTCGGTTGGAAATAAGCATAATTTTTACTAACAATTTTTGGCATGCCCAGTGGAAGAACATCATAATTTGGAACAATGGTAAAGGCAAAGAAGCAAAATGAGCACTTGGAGAAGAGGCATGTTAAGTTCAAAGAAGAAGATGTAGACTACGACTTGGTCTTAGCCGACAGTGGAGATTCCCAACATATGAGTCAGGTGGTGGCTCCAAAAGGCAAGATAAGTGGCCAAGCACTGAGCACACTAGGCCGAACAAGTGGCCATGCTAAAATCCCCAGAGGAGTTTTGGTTGCACAGTTGAGAGAGGCTATGGCAAACCAATCACTTGAAGAGAACCAAATCCTTTTGAGAGAGGTTAGGAGTGTGATGAATGGTCCATCGATGGAACATTCAAGTCAAGTTGAAGTGAAGACACAAAAAATGTCCTCAAATGCTGGAGGTGTGTATCTAGTGCCATTAGTTGGAGTACCACAACAATGTCCTGGGAACCAATGCCCTTTTACAGGGGGCCCAATTGCTGAGGAAAGAATGCAAGAGGTATTTCAAACTCCAAATTTTAATATTCAAGAAAATTGGCCCAAAATTGGACTTGGGGGGCAATTTAGGCCTCATACGTTTTCTAATCCTCTTTATGGTCAAAAGGGGATAGAAAATAAAAACTTGTTTAATGCAGAATTCAATAATTATCAAAATGTAAGGCCAAGGAATAACCCTGTATTTGAAAACTATAACCAAGGTTTTGAAAACCAAAATGTTAGGTTTGGTGAGGTTCAAAATATGGGTTATGGAAATCAAAGGTTTACTAATTTTGAGAATGCTGGTGTATATAATGAAATGAATAGGCTTGAAGGCCATGTTTGTTTGGGCGGACTGGATTAGCATTCTCATGACTAATAGTCCTGGGATTACGAATCCGTTGGATTATGTATCCTATCTTAACTAATAGTCAAGTTTAAAATAATTAGTCCGTACTTCAATTGTTTAACCAAATATCGGATTAATAATTTTATTGGACTATTAGTCCAATCCCAAGCTCATGTCCACCCAAACAAACATGGCCGAAATGTACTATGACCCATTTGGAAATGGCCCAACCGCAATTCTCACAACTTTGTTCATACTAAAGCGGTTTGGGTGAGAAAGCTTGACTTGATCTAACATGTTTATTTAGTTTTTTTGTTTATTTTTTTTTCTCTGTTTACAGCTTTTTGTCTATTTTTTTTTCTTCTTTTTGGGTCGTTTAGTGTGTGCTTGTTCCTTTTCTGTCTTGCTTTGTTTATTTAAAAAAAAAAATCCAAAAAGATTTTCTTAATATGGTTTTGCTAGCTTGAAATTTTTGAGAAGTTCTTAGTGCATATTGGAATTGATGAGAATATCCATTACATGTTAATATGTGTGTGCTTTCAGTGATCATTACTCATTTCAGAGTTTGTGTACTTTGAATAATATGTCTCATTCTGTACACACTCTTAGATTAGCAAATATTGGACTCTTCTACATAAGTGATCAAATTTCTCTATGGACTTCTACCATTCTGTCCTTTTCTTTTCTAGAGGAATTGACCTATACTAGCACATCATGGGTGATGTTGAGTCTCTTAACTACCTTCTATCTTTTTGCATCTCCACGACTTTCCCCTCAGTTCTTTGCAGTCAAAGCATGAGGAAAAGGCTATCTCAAAATTACCAATTAGGCTTTTCTTATTGTATCTATGCTTCTCTAGTTCAGTTTCTATACTCTTTAGCGTGAAAGCCACCAATGAGTGCACAAAAGAAAGAAAGCAAATTTAATATTAAAAAAAAAAACAATTCTGGTTCATTGATTGAGTCACCCTCCGCTTTTACTCAACAAATACCCTATGATTCCTAGTGGTTTGACTTTCCTAAGTTGTGGTTAGATTCACTTGCCGAAGGTCTAATTGTCAGATCATTACTACGATTTGAATCTAATATTTGTCGAACTTTAAGAGCCACACACACACTTTTATCATGAGATCTATGCTTTTCACTAGGGGTGGTCATGGGTCAGTTGTGGCCACGAAATCTCCAACCCGCCATCCGTCTGCCAAATTGGCGGATTAGAGAAAATCCATCTGCATCCGTTCGCCAATCTGGCGGATGCGGATTCAACGGATGGATGCGAATCGGTTTGGTAGTTTAAATTTTACAAATTTTCAACATAATTTAACATGTGCACTTCCTTAAAAAAGAAAAAAAAGAAAAAAGAAAAAAAAAAGTGCTGTGCATGCATAATATTCAACAGTGTGCTGTGTGCATGGATATTCAATAGTCTGTTCTACTGTGTGCAATGCATATTTTGTGTGATACTCAAATTATATAACAAACAAACAACAGTGTGCTGTGTGCAATGCATATTCAATATATATATATATATTTTTATGTGCAATGCATATTCAACTGTGCATGCATATTCAACATTGTGGTCAAATTCAGTTGTTGTGTGCATGCATATACAATAAAACAAACAAACACCCTAAGCAGTGGGCAGTAGGCGCAACAAACAACCTAGACAGTGGGCGCAACAACACAGTACAAATTTTCAACATACAACCATCCAAAATAAAGTATTACAATCATCCAAAATAAAATGTTACAATCATCCAAAAATTTAAAAACGTCTTAATACACTCATCCAAAATAAAATATTACAGTCATCCAAAGAAAGTTTTATTTCAACCAATAGTCACATTTTGAAAACAACTTAAAAAAATAACTTAAAAAGAAACAATAAAGCCATTGATTTCTTTAAGCCAAACCATGAGCCATCTAAACCTGCATAACAAAAAAATGAAATTATTTAATAAGGAAAACACTACAAAGTCTTAAACTTAAAACAAGTAAACATATATTAACAACATTTAACAAAGGGGAAGTATTTTACCAATGATATTAAACTTCAATAAAACTACTCTTCGGACTTGAGCTTGAACATAAACTTGATTCCGAAACAACTACACATAAAACATAATACAACAAAAACATGTGAAGTGAAGATAAGGAATTTTGAATAATACAAAATAAATGACATTTAAAACAAAATAAATCATTGTATATATTACCCGAATCATATTGTTGTTCAAATTCTTCAACATCATCCATTGCTTGTCGAAGGCATATTGGAATGTTACTTTGAAGCTAATTTTGTGTACAAACAAGAACCTCCACCATCTTGGGGACAAGTGAACTACGAAATGGATCAAGTATATGACCTCCTATACTAAAACCCGACTCAGAAGCAACAGTGGAAACAGGCATTGCCAACACATCTCGTGTTATAAGTGATAATACTCTATACTTCGATGCATTAACCTTCTACCACTCCAAGATATCAAATTGAGCATTTGTCCCACCTTTTTCAATATCACCCAAATACTTGTCCAATTCCGATATACTCCCACTACTACAATGTTGCCCCTCAAAAAATGAGTTAAATTGAGAGTTCACAATTGAATGTGGATCATTTTCATCTATCACCATATCTATTGTTTCATTTACATTGGAGGTGTGCACATTTGTTGAATCAAGTGTGGCATAATGATCATACAATTGACTCAAACAATTTTTCACTTTGTCTAACATTTCTTTCACTTTCACCACATCCCCACCAAAAATTGTTGAAAAATAAAATTGCAAGTATGTCATTTTCCTTCGAGGATTAAGCACAATCGCAACATACAAAAGGAGATTGATTTTTTCTCCATTTGCCCAATACTTGTCAAACTTCTCTTTCATTTTCTTTGCCATTGAAGATAAAATAGGATCATTGTCTTTGATTAATTGTCCAATCATGTTTTCAATGACAAAAATTTCCGTGTAGAATGTATTTGAAGTAACAAATAAAGACCCAGAAAATCTCTTTGTTGCATTGTAGAACATTTTAAGAAATTTCAAAAACACCCTGCAATTATCCTAATCCTCGGCTGTAGGCATCTCTTCCTCTCACCCCCTTCATTATCCAAAAAGTAGTGTTTATAATTGTAGTCCTCCTCACCTATTCTTTGAAAGGCACTCTCAATTTTTTTCGCCGCCTCCAACATAAGATATGTTACTCTCAATTTTCAAACTTTCCACATACTTTTTAAAAGTGTCAAGACGGTTTGGAGAAAACCTCACATACCTCACTGCATGCCTCATATTCGCTATACAAGACTCAAGATCCTTTAATCCATCACTAACAATGAGATTTAGAATATGCGCACAACAACGCATATGTAAAAAGTCATGACCCAAGATAGTTCCCTTCCATAGTTTTGTGGTTCATTTCAAGAATCTAATGGCTAGATTATTAAAACTCGCATTGTCAACATTTAAGGTAAAAAGACCATCAATGTCCCACTCTTTTAAAAGTGCCTTAATTTTTTTACCAAGAGTTTCTCCTTTGTGGTCTTCAACTTGACAAAAATTAATGATCCTCTTTTGTAACTTCCAATCATCATCAATGAAATGTGTTGTTAGACACATATAACACAAGTTTTGTATGGAAGTCCATGTGTCTATGGTAAAGCAAATTCTACGCCCCTTCGCAATTTTCTTCAACCTCTCCCTTTCATTAGTGTATATGTCTACAATGTCCCTAGCAACGGTATGTCGAGATGGGATCTTGAACTTGGGTTGCATGACACTACAAAACCTCTTAAAACTAACTCCATATACAAATTTAAAGGGCAATTCATCAATTACTATCATCTCTGCAAGATACCTCCTACCAACTTCCATAAAAAATGATGTAGCCACAACATCAACACCACCCTCCCCACCAACTTCTCTAGGTTTAAATCTCAATGTTTGTTGCCCCTGAGTATCCCTATATGGATACTTTGTACAATTTTTCAGATGAGTTAATGAATTACTTGTTCCATGACTCTTAGAGCCTGCCATATATTCTTTCTTACAATACTTGCACATAGCCCTATCTTTCCTATCAATACCCTTAATCTTTTCAAAATGATCCCAAGCTTTTGATTGTGTTCTCCCACTACTACTACTTTTGGCCAAGGGTGGTCTGGGAGGGGGAGCAATAGGTTGGGTAAAGGGGTCAATAGAAGATGATTCAAGCTCAACATTAGAATTAACAAAAAATGTTTCTTCGCTTGGAGGATCCATGACAAAAAGATTATGAAATAAACTGCCAAAAACCAAACATAGAACAAGAAAGAGAATGAATAACAAAAACAGACATTTTAATAGCAAACAGAGAAGTAAACGTAGATGGCATGTTATGTTTATTTTGGTATCTTCAATGGGGAGGGAGAAACACACGCAAACAGAGTTAACTCAGTAAGCCTACATGCAGGTGGTTAGCAAGGAAACTCATGCAATGCAAGGCAAACTTGTGTATTGACACTGCAAACTTGTGAAAAGATATCATTCATAATTCATAACAAATGATGAAATTATCCTAACATGATATCCATTTTATTTTACCCATTTAATTTAGCTACAGTTGATTGATTTATAAGGGTAAAGAATAGAAATGAAAGTTTAGATGTACACAAATAGTAAAAAAAATAAAAAAATAGATTCAATTTTTCATTGATTTACTGAAATGCTTCAAATATTTAAATGTGAATTTTGAAATTATTTTTAAAAACACATGGGATTGATAAATAATTTTTAAAAAGACTCGCATTTGGTATATTTTTTTGAAAAAAATATCTTAAAATATTTTATTTTAGGTAAAAAAAGAAACACCAAGAAATAGGATCCTATTAAAATGCACATATATATAATATTTGGGATCTATTTTGAAGACACTGGCCATAAACTTAATACATTTTGTTTTTAAAAAGGAACTAAAAAATTAAACCAAACCAAAACAACAATTTCAATGTTCAATTCTCAGCATCCAAACTCAGTACTAGTCCAATTTTAACAAAAATAATCCCACAAGGCTTGCTTTTCAAACACAGTTAACAACTAACCATAGACAGACATTAGTATTAAACAGAACATAGCACCAAGCAGCTAAAGGCACAACAAACAACTCAATTTCTTTCTTTCTATCTTTTTGATTTTATTTATTTATATTTTTAGCAAATAGCAAGTTGCATTAATAGATGAATTAGCAGCATTAGTACAGTGAAATCAGCAATACCGGCAAAGCTTACAAACAGAAACAACCAACATTCTCTATTCAACATATGCATCCAATAAAGGAAAATCCATAAAACAAAAAAGTTACAGTTTTCTAGCTATCCAAGCACCTACATATTAAAAGCTCACATCTTTACTTACTAGCATAAAAACCTCCACACAAGCCTAGCCAAAAGATGAAGAAGAAGAAGCATAAACCTTCACAAGCGTAGCAAAAAAGCATACAACCATGCACACCCCTAAAGCCATAATCTCAATAGAGGAAATAGGGAACACAATTTTACTTTTATTTTTTTAAAAATATAAGATCCCTAAACCCTCTGAAATCCAAACTTTAGGGCTGACTAAACCTTACCAAACTCATGGAATATGGAAGCACAATGGGAGAAATGATTTACTGAAATGCTTCAAATGTTTCTGTGAAGAATTTGTAAATAAATAAACAAATAAATAAAGACAAACATCCTACAAATTCATTAAGTTCATTCAGTTTTTTCATTCACAAATTTGCCTACAAATTCAATATTCAAACACAGTTTATCAACTCAAAGAAAAAAAAAATCAAAAAATAGATTCAATATTGTAGAATACAAAAATTCAATATTCAAATTTGCCACTTGACATTGTAAAAAAAAAAAAAATCAAAAATCAAAAAATAGATTCAGTTAAACCATTTTTTGCCTCAGATTCAAATTCAGTTACACCATTCAGTTACCGAGAGAGAAAGAAGTAGAACCTCGTTGTAAGCTTCTTCACACTGTGTAGAAGTAGAACATCTCTTCTTTTCCATTGGTTTCACTTCAGAACCTCAACAAACTGGAACAAAATAAAAATAAAAATAAGAACATATTAGAGTAGAGATTGAGGAGAGGAAGAGAAGAAGAGGAAAGAAGAAGACCAAATAGAGGTCATCGAAGTCGAACAAAAAAAAAATTACAAAAACAGGTTATAGATTGAGGAGAATAAGAGAAGAAGAGGAAAGAAGATGACAACAATATCTCACCACCACACCATGATCGCCGATCCTTTTTTAGGTCGAAGAATGCCAATGGGTTAAGGTTTTAATTTGAGATTCTCAAAAAAGGGTTGGGGTAAAGGGGTCAATAGAAGATGATTCAAGCTCAACATTAGAATTAACAAAAAATGTTTCTTCGCTTGGAGGATCCATGACAAAAAGATTATGAAATAAACTGCCAAAAACCAAACATAGAACAAGAAAGAGAATGAATAACAAAAATTGACATTTTAATAGCAATTAGAGAAGTAAACGTAGATGGCATGTTATGTTTATTTTGGTATCTTCAATGGGGAGGGAGAAACACACGCAAACAGAGTTAACTCAGTAAGCCTACATGCAGGTGGTTAGCAAGGAAACTCATGCAATGCAAGGCAAACTTGTGTATTGACACTGCAAACTTGTGAAAAGATATCATTCATAATTCATAACAAATGATGAAATTATCCTAACATGATATCCATTTTATTTTACCCATTTAATTTAGCTACAGTTGATTGATTTATAAGGGTAAAGAATAGAAATGAAAGTTTAGATGTACACAAATAGTAAAAAAAATAAAAAAATAGATTCAATTTTTCATTGATTTACTGAAATGCTTCAAATATTTAAATGTGAATTTTGAAATTATTTTTAAAAACACATGGGATTGATAAATAATTTTTAAAAAGACTCGCATTTGGTATATTTTTTTGAAAAAAATATCTTAAAATATTTTATTTTAGGTAAAAAAAGAAACACCAAGAAATAGGATCCTATTAAAATGCACATATATATAATATTTGGGATCTATTTTGAGGACTCTAGCCATAAACTCAATACATTTTGTTTTTAAAAAAGGAACTAAAAAATTAAACCAAACCAAAACAACAATTTCAATGTTCAATTCTCAGCATCCAAACCCAGTACTAGTCCAATTTTAACAAAAATAATCCCACAAGACTACTTTTCAAACACAGTTAACAACTAACCATAGACAGACATTAGTATTAAACAGAGCATAGCACCAAGCAGCTAAAGGCACAACAAACAACTCAATTTCTTTCTTTCTTTCTTTCTTTTTGATTTTATTTATTTATTTTTTTTTAGCAAATAGCAAGTTGCTTCGATAGATGAATTAGCAACATTAGTACAGTGAAATCAGCAATACCGGCAAAGCTTACAAACAGAAACAACCAACATTCTCTATTCAACATATGTATCCAATAAAGGAAAATCCATAAAACAAAAAAGTTACAGTTTTCTAGCTATCCAAGTACCTACATATTAAAAGCTCACATCTTTACTTACTAGCATAAAAACCTCTGCATAAACCTAGCCAAAAGATGAAGAAGAAGAACAAGCGTAGCAAAAAAGCATACAACCATGCACACCCCTAAAGCCATAATCTCAATAGAGGAAATAGAGAACATAATTTTATTTTTATTTTTTAAAAAATATAAGATCCCTGAACCCTCTGAAATCCAAACTTTAGGGCTGACTCAACGTTACCAAATATGGAAGCACAATGGGAGAAATGATTTACTGAAATGCTTCAAATGTTTCTGTGAAGAATTTCTAAATAAATAAACAAATAAATAAAGACAAACATCCTACAAATTCATTAAGTTCATTCAGTTTTTCCATTTTTCATTCACAAATTTGCCTACAAATTCAATATTCAAACACAGTTTATCCACAGAAAGAAAAGAAAAAAAAAAATCAAAAAACAGATTCAATATTGTAGAATACAAAAATTCAATATTCAAATTTGCCACTTGACATTGTA